GATACCCAACTTGCCATTATTCGAAAAATCGTGCCCGCCATCTTGGATTTAGAAATTAGTGCCATATTCGTAATGAGCATCCCCAAATACCTCGAAAAGGATACCCATATAGCATTTTTTGAAAAATCGTGTCCGCTATCTTGGATTTACAAATAAGTGCTATATTCGTTTTTCATCGACAAAACGAGTGTAACTGTAGGCACCTGATCGACAGTAACGATCGACAAAATCGAGCACATCTGTAGGCACCTGATCGACAATGTCGGGCAAATCTGTAGGCACCTTTAACTTAATGATGAGTTAAGCAAGATACAATTTCCCCACTTTTGAGGGAAATGTTATTCCATGGCATCATTATTTGTATATTTGTGTGTGTGCCGACGAGCGTAGTTACAAGTTGCTTACGCCTACATGAATTTGATTTTTGCCTCACTTGTGACAGTTCGTTTGATATGAAACTATCATTCTATGCGTTATTATTCTAAGGATATAACATTAGTTCAGTCATTGACGTCAAATCGTACTATGGGACTGACGTAGAATTTACTTACTTGTCTATTTTTGGCAGAGATTAAAGATTAAATTCGTCACTTTGCACGATCCTGGCAAACCTTTATTTGCATACAAGCTCTCTCATTCCCATTCTTATCAATAAAAACACTTCCAATTTGATCTGAAAACGTTTTTCGTGGCCAGTGTTTAGCTTCACATGGGCTCTATAACTGTTATTTCATTTATCCGCTCCATGTGCCATACCACCTTAACATCACTTTATTTATTTTTGTCACTACATCCACATCGTTCACGAATCAAAGTATTTTTCACATTATTGCCTAATCGAAAATTACACAGTTTTTTGAGGGATTTGAATTCTACTATATTCACTCTACTCTCATGCTTTCTTCGTCAGCTGTATTACCCCATACGTTAGTATTGAGACTAAAACAGCTTTATGTCCCACCACTCGCGTCTTCTTAGATACGATGTGCCTCCACATTAATCCATTTACGGCCCTGTTTTGCTTTTCCTTTTTTACGGTTCTTTCAATGTCTTCCTCACCTCATAATTAATACTTGTTTAAATTTACATCATCAAGTTCAATTATATATTTCATCATAGTACTATTATTTCTTTCAGATAAGCAATAGACTCTTTAATTTTATCTACATTCACGCTCATTTCCATTTTTTCGAACGATTCATACTTTACACTCTATTACCTGTTAAGTACTCTCTATCTCTCGCAGATAATGTAAGAAGTACCTACTAAACTTGATCATTGGCGAACAAAAAGCACTTATTGAAGATTCAACTGTGAGCCTAGGACGGATGAATTACAAATGAACTCTTTAAACGTTCACTGACAAACTGGAGAATAGATAATAAAGTGAAAAATACGAAAACATTAATATTTTATGTATACATTTAGAAGACGAATAAGTTAACAAATCAATTTCATTTGGTGAACATTTGAGATAATATGAAAATTTAATAATTATTAATACAAAGATCGAACACTCAGAAAAAAATTTCTTCGATCCGGTCGGATTTTTCTGAGTGTTCGATATTTGTATTAATAATTATAACAAACTAGTGGAGTAATTTCACAAGAAATAATTTAATATCAATTCAATAAAATGTTTCATCTAAATTAAATACAACACAAATAGATGCGAGATTGGGACTTCAATATTTTTGTAACGGGAAATGGTTAACAAATAAAGAATCATTAGTGCATCCAATAAGCATATTGAGGTCCTAAGAACCTCATCGAAAACGGGGAAAATTGATAATTTTTTTCTTGTATTTTACTCTGGTATCTGAAAATACAATACTCTCTAGCCATAACATTAGGCGGATGACAATGACAGATCGATCACGCTCTGACTGACTGCTCAAAAGTCAAAATGTCGCGAACAGTTGCGAATGTCGTGTCGCTACGTTTCTGGTTTTATTTATAAAACCTTTCATGTTGTCTAAATATAAACCACTCGTAGTTTTAGAATATTGTGGCGATATTAAAGAGGCGTCTGAGACTTTTTTTATAGAGTTAAGTAGTGCGCATTTGAAAAGTTGTAGTCATTGTGCTCGAACATCGACCGGCTGTTTTCGATAACATACTATAAAATCAATATTCTGTGAGAAATTAATCTGCGTTGAATTACCTTACTATACAAATTGGCTCAGTAATCCAAGATAAGATAGTTCAAATCTTTACCGCGTAGTCTGAATGTATATAATAATGTATTATGTCGTATCGATGTTCAATATTAAAGTTTGCTACTGTGGACCATTAATAACATATAAACTCTAAATAAATGACAGTGGAAATGAAATCCGACATTTCAGACAAATAAATGAAGGAACAATGCCTGGAAAAATAAAAGTGAAAGTGCTAGCAGGTCGTAATCTGCCAGTAATGGACAGGGCCAGTGATACCACTGATGCGTTCGTAGAAATCAAATTTGGAAGCGTAACACATAAGACCGACGTCTGCCGGAAGTCCCTGAACCCTCATTGGAGCAGCACTGAGTGGTATAGGTTTGAGGTGAGTCAAAAATAGTAACCTTTTAATTACACATAGAAAAGCCAACTTCAATTGTTTCTTATTGTGTCTTTGAAGTCTTAACAATTGTAACAATCCAAATTTTTGTAACCAGCACCTCAGTAGCTTATTTACTAATCAATCAGCAGTATGCCAAAATTTATATTAAAGTTGTTTAGTAAAATAAATTATTGTTATGTTAACATTGCATCATAGGTTAGGTTTGATCCAGACATCAACTATCAAGGTCATACATTTTTTAATAGTAAATATATGGCAGTGAGATTTGGCTGTGTGACAAGTTCTGCCATGTGCTACAGTACTGTAAAGAATTATTTTGTTGTGTTACATCTGGCAACCATCTACTCATTATTTGTTTACTTGTGCTATGTTCAAATTACACAATGTTTGCCAAATTGCCTTTGTAGTGTCTATAAATTAGGATAATGAACATATACTTAGCCTTGTGGACAATTCTATTCAAACCTATGATAGAATAAAATCACATACATACACTGGTATATGAAACTGAATATCATCTTCTCCACCTCCACCACCAAACCAAAACCAGTGAAATCCATATCAATTATGAAGAACTCCGTGTCTAATCATATATGTTACATAAGATTTGATCTTGTAGCAAGATCTTACCACTGCCCTATCCCATTGGGCAATCCGATAGATATGACCTGAAACAGTACAAATGTATAGTGAACATCAGTACTTAGAGAGTTGTCCCTGTTCAATTACAACCACATGTCTTCCATGAGAAGTTAACCTGAAGTGTATAAACAGTACCTTGAATAGATGTTTACTTATAGACTGTATGCCAGTAGGAAGATGCTATGGTAAAACTCCAAGGTCAGGATCCTAAGACTGGAAAACTTTTTTACAGTGCAAACCCATAAAGAACCTCTACATCTTCTATGATACTGTAGCTATCTATGAGCATATGAAACTCACTCATGGGCTGTGTCTACCTCATACACCCAAGCCAGAGGAGTTAAAAAACAACTAGAGCTAACAAAATTCCACACTTTTTAATTCTATGGGCCTTTTGGCTCTGAGATGCAATTAGTGGTGATCACAATGGATCCAGTGATTGGCCGCAATAATGGTGGACTGCACAGGCCCTGAAAGTAACTAACATTTAAGAAACCAATTGAACAGTGGATTCATAACACTAATTAAATTGAAGATTCAAAAATAACTTTTTTGTCCAAACATTATTTTTAATACTATTCTGTTAATGAACAGCATATGGAAAATAAATCGATCTATTCATTTCACAGGTAGATGAATCAGAATTGCAGGATGAACCACTTCAATTGCGACTTATGGACCATGACACATATTCAGCTAATGACGCCATTGGGAAAGTGGTTATTGGTTTGGCACCACTCCTGGCAAGAGAGGGTAATAAAACCAAGAATGCAGCTTCACAGGGTGGTAAGTCTAAGGCTTTTATTTTTTGACATTAGGTATCAGTTCTGTGAACTGTGGAAGCTTTATATTATACAGTGGTAAAATTCAATGTAGCAGGTACTAAACGCTATAATATCAGTATTATTTTCTTAAGTCCAAGCTATCATTGTCAAGTTTTACAAATACATTATTATTAGGAAACTCTTTAATCCGATATAACATCACATTAATTATTAACCTTGTATCTGAAACATAAAAGTAAATTTTAACAGCAAGAGTGACAGTGTTAATTTTTTTTTATAATTTGTAGTGACGGACCGAACAAGTCGAGCGCCTGATGGTAGGCTACACGCCTATCCATAACAGTTGCAGTGCCACTCCGATCGTTAAATAGCAAAGATTTGAGGGGCACTACCACTGCACCCGTCACCCTGAGACATAAGTTGACAAGTCCCATGTGCCTGTTATGTGTAATTTATTTTTTATTTTTATTTTTTTTTTTACATATGATAAAGTTATCCAATTAAAGTAATTAGCAAGAATAATAATAATAATCGTGTCAGCGTAATAGTTTGACCTATCACCGCTCAAGCAGTCTCTGAGTTTTCGGAATTTATGTACGAAATTTACCATGAGCTTTTCGGTGACGGATGATTTTGCCAGTGTGGCTGAGTAACTGCCTCTTTGGCCGGTTACCATGCCGGACTGCCACGCAGAAGTCCTAGGTTCGATTCCAGGGCCGGGAGAAATATTTGTATGGCCTACATTTATTTCTCTCGTGAATTTGGGTGTAATTTGCGGTTGTCTATGTGTGTCCATGGCACCCGCGACACAGGGTTTCCCTAGTGCGGGGCTATGTTGAGTGTGTGCGTGTGCTTTATTAAAGCGTACAACCTTGCCTGTAAGCAGACCCGTGCTCAGCAGTAGGACATGTAGTTGGGTCGATGATGAATACTATAATAATAGTCAAACAAAAAACATGACATAAGAGATAAACGAATAAAAAAGAAGAAATCAATTATAAATCGGTGGTATTCATTTTTCTAGTAAAACATAGTATTATTTAAGATGTCCTTCCATCTATCCTTATACACATCACATTCAGGCTTTTCAATCAACAGTGCGTTGATTTTAGTGAGTATTCGGTAGAGAGGGGGTAAAATTATAAAAACCTGATTCAATAAACTTTTCATTTCACACTGCATTGGAATCTGCCACATTCACTAAATGTAACATGGACATTTTATTTTAAAGTTCAAGGCTTGTTTACTTACTTTTGATTGACGTACTCCACGTGCATTTGTGCTTTTTAGTTATTCTGTGTTTTATTTTTATTAAATAGCCAGTTACAAGGTACTATGTATTTAACAAAAAGGTCGATACTTTTTAAGGAGCGCTGATGTCTGGTTGGATCCCAGTCTTTGACACAATGCATGGCATTCGAGGGGAACTCAATGTTATTGTAAAAGTGGAACTATTTGCAGATTTCAATAAATATAAAACTTCTAGCTGTGGTGTACAATTCTTTCACTGTAAGTATTTTGTTTCGTTCAATTAACTTGCTAGTTAATTGAACTAGCTAGTTATTTTTTCTTGAAGAGTTAGTTTAAAAATAAATTTTTAAAATTATTAGTAAAAAATAACTCACTAACACAACTAAAGTCACTAATAAATAACATTTTACCACAAAGCGGTAATGCTATGCTTTCAAAGTCATTTGACAATTTTAATTTCTCAGGCCCAAGTATACCACCAGGATACAGAGCAACAGCTGTACATGGATTTGTAGAAGAATTAGTCGTCAATGACGACCCTGAGTATCAATGGATAGATAAAATAAGAACACCTAGGGCATCCAATGAGGCGAGACAGGTTGCTTTCATTAAACTTAGCAATCAAGTATGTACCTACATAATTTAATTTTGAATCTTATATTTCCGTCTTAAGTTTTCTACAAGTAAGTGTATACACAACTCAGATATTCCAAGCGACTGAAAAATCAATAGACCTTGGCTTATGAAAGTATAATTTGAAATTATTATTGATTATTGTCACAGGTACAGCGTTTGGTTGGAGTAAAAGCTGCCGAATTAGGTGCCAATGCGGTGGTAGGATATCAGCAAGACTTTGACTTGGAAGGAGAGGCCGGTGTTGTAGCTCGAGCTATAGGCTAGTACTCGATTCATTTGATTCACTGAAAGTTATAGCTTTATTTAATTTAGCGATATATATTTTATTGTGATATTTTGCAGGAACCGCGGTAAACATAACGCCTTTACCTACACCATGTCAGCCCCTGAATATACCACCCTGCACACAACAGTGAGTATCCATTGTCTAATAAATTATTAGCTTTATTCAATAGTTAACGAGATTACGAAATGTAAATTTACGTCTTATTAATTATTCGAACTTAAGAGACGCCTATGATCGAACTCGGTGTTATTTATTTTCTTAAGTCTTAGCTGATTTCATAGTCTTAATTTTGATAAACAGCTTAATTCTGCACAGTAATATTTTTATGTTATTACACAAGCGAATACTTTTTTATATTATTATTAAAAAATACTCATGATATTATGTTTGCATGGTTTGTTGTGTTTTACGCTTCCATTTATTAAATAGACAATTAAAAAAATACTTGGACATTTTGGCGACTGATAACGAGAGCATAACAGACTTAAATGAATACTTTCAACATCATCAGGACCAGCTACAGAATCTACTCACCATTCTTAATCCAAAAACACCAGCCCTTTTAGACGAGGCTGAAAACATAGACGAAGATGATAGGAGTATCCTGACTAGACAACCCAGTATAAAGAGTTACTCTGGCAATGTTTCAATATACCAAGACAACTATGTGTCTCAAAAGAGTTTAAGGCATATAACAGAGGATCAAACAGATTTAAACAAACTTTTAAAGGGCAACGACGATTCTGACTCCGATTCATCGGGGCCATTACAGAAAATTAAAAAAATTAAAACAAATTTCTTCACTAGGAAGTTTGGCAGCATGCGTTCACGGAAATCTGATAAACTAGATGATCAAATATCTTTGCGATCTAACTCTTCTGATACTTCCCGTATATCACTAACTGATATAAGGAAGGAGTTCAAAAAATTAAAAAGAATTAAGAAGACTAAAATCCTTCGAAAGGCATTCGCTAACAAACCAGACGAAGGCATTGGAATGGCATCAATACTTGCCCGATCTGTTATACATGCTCATACCAGTCTTGCCTGTATAGCGGAAACACAGGATTCCGAGCACTCTCCCAGTTCAACTGTGAGACGCACTAGTGAATCCGAGCCCACAATAAATATGTCTGATGAAGACAAACGGAAAATAACGGTTCCCGAGATAATTGCCGAGCCTAAACACCAGAATGAGAGTAAGCCTAAAGTTACAGAAATGTCTATTTCACTTAAAAACGTAAACACTGCAGAAGTAATCTCAGACATACATCAAAGAAAACTATCAGAATCTTGTCCTACCACTCCCACAGCAACAAGAAACGAAAATTTTTTAAAACTACCTGGAGAAGCTGGTTTCTTCGGTTCTCTCTCTCTTTCTGGAGATAGTTCAGAAGTATACAGCAGCTCTGAAGAAGATGACGAAAGCTCAGACCAGAAAACAGACACAGAACAATCAATTGAAACGACTAGTTCTGTCGTAAAAACGGTTCTGAATCATTATGTAGATCCAGAATTAATTGTGAAAATGGACAGAAAACTAAGTACAATGAGGGGTATAGTTCCTGATCCTAAAGAGTTTCAAAGTCTTTATGATGTAAAAGATAAAGAAGATGACGATAACAAAACTCCGGCTTCAGTATCTTACGAAAACAAAAGTACCATTGACGAACCGACTGTATCTGAAATCATGCCAACTAGCGACGAGCCAGTAGCTAAATTAAATAAAAATCATCACTTCAAATTCCATAACCCATTTACTCATAAAAATGTGTCGAAAAGTATAAGCGCACCGTCGTCGCCTCAGGAAGACACTGGTATTGTTTACCGTTCTTCAAAACGAATAAAACATCAATTATCTAAAATAACTAAGAACAGTATGATAAAAAGTCTTTCCCACATTTCTCTGCTCCCTAAAAAGAAACAAACAGAAGCTAATCCAACTCTAAGCCAACCAGGATCTTCATCTGATATAATTTCAAAAGTTCCCAGTGAGACAGTGCTAGGATCGCCACTTCTTTCTTATGCAGACTTGTTAAATCTTGATAAAGATAGCCTGGATAGTCACAAACCAATTTATAAATGTGATGAAACTAGTCACGGGAAAGTCACTATGTATATTGGATCGGAACCGGCATCGAGAGCGTCATTGAGTGGTCCTTCTCCCCTGTATAATAAAGAAGAAGCTATTCATCATATTAGAAAAGATAAAATACCATTTAAATCAACTGGGCTTATTCAAACTGCCATGGAAACCATATTAATAGATAAAGTTGAATCTTTACTAGTTCCTACGTCACCTGAACCCGGGGAATCGAAGGAAAAACAATTCTTTGATGACGTAGCTCAAAAATTAGTACGAGTAGAAGAATCAAGGAATCAATGCAGTCAAAGTGCTACCACTGAGCATAAAATTATTGAAAATATACCAGAAAAAAAAATAGTTAAAGATAGCCTACTTCATTCTGCAATGGACACCATACTTTTAGACAAGGTTCAATCGCTGCTTTTTCCGACGACGCCAGATGAAAAACGCATTAGAGAAGAGAAGGCGAGGGCAGTAACGCCCACCGAAACTTCTGCTACTCCTGAAGATGGCAAACATCATAATCACAATGAACGAAATATAAAGATGAGGGAACGGTCAACGTCGAGAGGCAAAAAAGATAAACGTGGAAGTTTATTTGAAACTGCAATGAAAACTATACTTTTGGATAAAGTTCAAACTCTCGTGCCTGCCACTCCTGAACCGCTTCTAGTGGAGCAAGGTTTTTTTGATGATGAAAAACACAAAAAATCTAGGAAAAGTGAAGATAAAACAACTCATGGAAGCCTTTTACATACAGCCATCGAAACAATGCTTATTGAAAAGGTACAAACACTATTACCTTCGTCGACAGAACCTGATATTTCTGATAAAAACCAAAAAGTTCAAGATGAGCGTTTTGGCTATCATCTGCCTATTGTTGATAACATGGCATGTGACACTATTGAAATACCGTCATTAACATCCCCAGAAGTTAAGATCAGTGAAGAAAAGGTTAATATAACTGAAAACAAAAAAGAGAGCAGTCTTCTCCAAACTGCTATGGAAGCAATGCTAATTGATAAAGTACAAATGTTAGTGTCGCCAGAGTTTGAAGTTGCTAGTGACAAAGAACAAAGTACGGCATTAGAAAAACCTGAAAATGATATAATACAAAAAGAATTAATTGGTGCTACTGTTGAAACAATGCTTCTGGATCAAGCTCAAACCATATTGACTTCAGCATCTCCGGTTCTGGATCTAAAAGTAGACAAGCTTAATGATACACAGTGCCACAAGGGTCCTGCTCAAGAAATTACCTCGCATGGAGAGCCGGTATCAGAAGAAAACAGTATTCTAAAATCGAATGACAAAAAAGATAAAAAGTTAGTTAGACAAAATAGCGTTAATTCCCTTACTGCATCTTGTGATTCGCTTAAAATGTCCAAGGAAATTGATTTTAACACTGTCACCTCACGTAAAGTAACTCAAAATAAACCAGTACTTCAACATTTCCATCCCATCCTTAGCGGTGCACCTTTAGAAACCATACCGTCGCTACCTGAAAGTAGTTTGGATCGCACAGAGAGCTTGGACGTAGAGGGAGTCGAGGAGAGCTGTGACAGTCCATCCGAGAGTAAATGTCAAGAGTGTGGTAGTGACACTAACAACGATAGCGCGTGTGGTAACTCGCATGCAGCGTGCCGTTTTGACAGGAATGATCGTGAAAAAGAAGAGTGGGAGAAAGAGACAGGATCGCCGCAACATACTCGGCATGATTCTTATGGCGGCCGCGAGCCCATAAGCACTGCCCTACAAGCGCAGAATGCCTCGTTTAACTCGTCCTCAGCCCCTCTGGGAATTCAACGCCGCTCCTCTGACTCGGATCTTAGTGTTACGCCTAAAGGTACTATTGTTTTGTATTTACTAGTGATTTACTATTATAGCTATGTCACAGTTAAATTAACTGTTAGTATTTTCAGGAGGTTCCCTGAATGCGTTAACCAGCACCGTTGGTAGCGGTGGTGGAGCTATCTTGCGTCCTTCTATGAACAGCAATACCCTGGACATGTTAGAGTATCCGTTCTTGACCATGACAGAATATCCCCCCGGTTTCATTGTACATTTGGGTAGGTTATTGCGTTTTTAATAATTTTAATTTAACTTTGCATTTAACATTATTATGTTTGGCGAATGCTTAGTTTTGCAACATGTTACATCTTATGGCTTTGCGATCTATTGGCAAGTTCTCATATATTAATAGTAATAGTATTATTACCACAATTATGTTCATCAAATTCTACTTTTGTGATTAGTGCCTTATCTGAACAGCAAAAGCGAAATAACATAAGAGCATGTGAACTGAAGATAATTTGTCCTCACCAGGTTAATCTAAGGTTCGTCAGAACCTTATTAGTACCGTTATACACAAAAGTGCTTGGCTTTTTACGTATTACCCAGTCTTATACCTCGAAATCTTGTGCTCTTTAACCACGGTATCGTTACACTTACGTACTAAACTGTTCGAATCAGGTGGTACAGTGTGCTCGAGATCTGTAAAGCTAATCGACAACGACAGCGAGAGCACAACGCGTGCCGCCTGGTGGGCAGAGCTACGAACCGAGTTGCGTGCACACGCCCGAGCCCTGCGCTGCAATGCCGTCATCGCATACTCTGAATCCGCTGCCATTTGGTTAGTTCTTATGTATAATATAATAATCAAAGTTAATCAAATCTATTTTACTATTTCATAAATGCGAAAGTAACTCTTACGTTTTCATGATTAAACCGCTGAACCAAATTTGATGACTTTTGGAATGATGGAGCACAGGAGAAGAACATAATTTTTTGTCACAAAAATAAATGTTAAAGGGGTGAAATAGGGCATGAAAGTTGTATGGAGAACCAATTATTTCTCAAATAAGTAGGACAGTAGGCTACTCGAAGTACTTTTCTACTATTTATACTCTATTAATGGTACTTGTCTAACTTGCAGTGAGGACGTGTGTGTGCTGTCCGCATCGGGCACAGCCGCCATGATCAATCTCGACTGCGACTTCAACATGGAACTCGACACTTCAAGTATAATAAATTTTAACGTACAAAAGACCTGTGTGTGTGAAATTGGTATATATGTTCGTTTTGGTTCATGATTTCTTAACTGACCGAATGTCAGCAGACAATTAATTTTCGTTAAAATTGTTAGTCACGTACTTTCTTTAATGTTGTAAGACAATCGTCACTTTACCTGACAGTATACATTATATTGATATGTAAATTGCATAAAGTTATCTATAATTCCATAGTTATTATTAGCCATAGTCTGCCCCGCTGCCGGTGACCCAATGTTGGCTGGGGAATTACGGAAATACGAAATAAGGAAAGACGTTCAGGGAATTGATCGTGTAGCGGCTACACATTCAGGGAATTAGACGTGCAGCGACTAGACGTACAGGGAATGATTTTTTTTTAATATACGAGAATTAGACGTTCTGAACCAAACCGTTTGTGTTCTCTTCAAGAAAACCTTTATATATAAAATCACAGCTTCATTTTGCTTGTTGGAGGTGCCCTTTTTGGGTTTCGCAGAATCGAGTTTTCTGCTTAGTGTTGAGTGTTGTGGGAGTACAATGTTAGAAAGTACAAGCTTTCGTATTAGATTTTGTATTTTAATGTTGCAGAACTGTTATCTTGAAAAGAACATACAATATAACGTATATGTAGACAATTGTTGATATGCTATGTAAGACGCCCTCAAATTTTAATGAATGAAATTGTGATTTATTCTCTCGTTATAACAAACTTAATACTTATAGTATATAACAAAATTGGGCATAATTGTTTCTGTGAGTCTGGTGCCCAAGGTAGCATTAAGAAAACCTGTATAACAAGTCACCAGGCTTACATTCTGTATAATTCTGTTGTTCTAGTTATATCATCATAAAGAACAATGATAAAAGGGGAATTAACATTAACAAATCAATTGATTCAAAATTTGTGGGATTGGGTATGAACGGGGGGAAGGATATTATATAGCGAGACATAATATCGGGAGCAGTCGAAGAAAATCAGAGCTATTGCCTATCCCTTACCAGATCAAAATCCTCTTGTCAACTTCTGTCCATATTCTTTATAGTACGGGTAATGATTACGAGAATATCAGTCGTATGAATGTAGAGCCAACTAACCAATAATGGTACAGTCGGTACCCTCACTTACGTATCCACTATCTGTATAGCACTTAGTACAAATAGTGGATACTTAAGTGAGGGTACCGACTGTACACAACTCATTGGTTATTCGCATTCCAATTGTATATAGCGCGAAATATAGTATACAAGGTTATTTGTAAAATATCATCTTATACAAGTTTAGTTCCATGATTTTTAACAATTAATCAGATTTTAGTTTCTTTCAATAATAAATATATTTAAATAGGTCGCTCTAAACGGTATTACACAGCCTATGCGTACTTGGATGACAAAAATCCGTGATAGTGACCCGTTTCGCTCTTGAGTAGTCACGAAAGATGTTTAAATTAAATATTCTAACGACAAATGCATTGAAATGTATATTTACAAAGAGCAACCAATAAAGTTTCTTGCTCATTTTTCTCAGGAGAATCTGCCTTACGAATGAGTAGTAGAGTTTAATCAGTATGACGATTTCAAGTGTAATTTGCTTACCTATCAAATAAAGATTATTTGACTTTGACGGTGATAATTCTGCGGTAAGAAAAGAAAGCAGTATCATAAGTACCAGTTCGATGCAAAATGCAAGAGCGGGGGTGAGTCTTGTGTGACCTTACTACCAAATACAGATCTAAAAAAATGTCAGATAGTGCAACAAAAACTATAAAGTTTATTTTTGGTAAATTTATGATATTTTGTAATAAGTCAACAAAAGTTGTTGTTTATGATGTTAGTATTATAATTATGCGAGGTTGTTTGTATTTTACGAATAACCCTGTATATATGTACATATAATTCGAATGATTTACTGCTACTTTAACCTTTTAACCGTCATAGACGCTGTAAGCGTCAATGAAACCATGTGTTATTTATATATTCTAGTTGAGTATGGATTCATAGTTGCATTTTGTGTTCGGTTATGTTTTTTTAACTTAAGAGAATTTAATTACTATAAGGTTAAAATTCGTAACTTTTCATTCGTAACGACTTGGCGTCTAGGAACCAATAGTAGATTGTACAACAAGTGCATAAAACGCGTGATTTTCCCCGAGACGAGTATATTCACCCTAGCCGTAGGCGAGAGTGAATACTTAAGTCGAGGGTAAAATAGGTTGTATGAACGAGTTATACACTCTGCTTTTCACTTGGATTGCGAGGAGATTAAACAGCAATATTAAAAATGAACGATTTTTTAATTAAAATTTAATGTTAAATTACAACAATTAGACATATTTAATGTGATGGTTTTTTCTTATTTTATGCACACCCAGCATAAATACGAACTTTAAGAGCATAGAAGTGAAAAACTAGTTTTTGTCAGTGGCGGTCAAAAGGCTAATTTACAGTAGCGCGTTACAATTTTCACTTACTTAAACACGCGTGACTGTCGGAAGTTTTGTAAGTGTATGAATCTTTTAGCTTTAATCAAAATATGACTAAAGCACTTATTCTAATTCCTAAGCAAAAGAAGGATCGAAGACAGCCATCGACGAGGCTGTATTGGAACCGGAGACTTGTTCAATCGCGCACGTGCCCTACTCGCCCGGCGCTGGACCTTATCGTGCGGAGCTCTCCAATTGCGGCGGGTGCAAGTAAGCATTTATACAATACAATATAAAAAATCTTTATTGTACACCTATACTACCCTATACATTTATTTTATTTTTATGGTTTAATTATGTTAATTTATGGCACAATAACAGACATCAAACAAACAATAGAGGGAAAAAAAGAAAACACTTAAAGAATTATACAGCAGACATATCTGTGCGCGATTAGGCGACTTTCAATGTGACCACCATAAAGTCATAATGATTCCCACGAAAATTTTGTCGGAAAATTAAATTATTGAAGAAAAATTCATAATTAATTTATTTGTAAAAACACATATTATACAGAAGCTGATATGTACAAAATAAGTATAGTTTCACTGTGTCCGGTCAAACATTAGGCATACAAACATTTGAAGATAAATTATATATTCACTCACATACACTTCGACGAACTATATCAGGTGTAACAAGTTTTTTTTTTTTCATAATATTACATGGGCATGTATGCACACAATGGACCGGACAAACTACGAGGCTAACGACATGACCGTGAGATTGCCTAAAACATACAACAAATATTTTTCTGACATTTGCCTATTTTCTGTATCTAGAACTACGTTTATAACTGCTTTGCTTTGAATATAAGGGGCATAAATAAGTAAATAAGAATTGATTTATTTTACATTGCTAATTAATCAACAATAAAAAAAAATATATCAAGTTAATACTTGACATAATAACCATTTTACTTTAACTTATTTTCTTGAACAGTTTTATTTGCATCGATATCGTGTAAGCCGAGTAGCAAACACTAACGATGCGAGCGGTTTCTTTCTTTCTTTGTTTTACTTGCCTAGCCATTTTTTGAAGAAAGAGAGGAAAGCTGACACTCACGCACCATCACACACGCACACATACGCGTATACGACAATTTATATTAGTAATTTACAATTAGTTACGAATGCTGTTATTTATAGTACTAATTTTCTGCTCAATATTATAACCATATCACATGTTTTGTGTAGGTACTGAGTTTCCGTAATCGGCTTTTGTACGGCTTGTAGGACATTTGTAAAAGATGTATAAAAACGCGGTAAAGTCTGTTTCAATCCATTTTGAACAAAAAGTAAACAAAACCGTTTGGTTAAATTTCTAAAGCAATCACGCAATAAATCGAATGAGTAACACTTTCACGTATATTTTGAAGATTTCAACTTGATATATCATCACTTCTTCCAACAATATTCATTTGAATAGCATTGTTAAACCGTATTTCAAAAATGGTAATCCCTAAGTGAGGTTATTTTTCATCTATACATCTATGATTTGTCTATGGTTGCATAGTGCTGAACGAAAAAAAAAACGTTCGGTTCATTCAATTAAAGTTTTTTTAATCGATTAGTAAATCGAATATTTCAATCGCAATCGAACGAGTATCTAAGAGTAACGATTTGAAGGACGAATTAAAATTTTATTTCGGAAAATTTAAATATGCTTATTGCTTATATAGGTTATGTAAGGAAAACCGCAAGTTTGACTCAGTTGAACAAATCGATACATTCAATTAATTAATCAACATACAATTGGTAGTCACTAAACCGTCTATGGTCGGGTCAGTGACTTATTGACTTATTTGTTTACATTTTGTTCATAATGGATTGAAGCGAAGTATAGAAAATTTGCTGATTAAATAAAATACTTAAGTAATATCCCAACCTACGCAAAATTACAATACGCTAAATTAGAATACAAAAAAGAAGAATAACTTATTACCTTATAACATTGCAAGAAGTGACCTCTTAAAAACAGGGACACCAAAATTGAATACATTACAATTAGTGCATATTTCGTTGTAAGAACATAACAACTCATGGTTCAATTCTTCTTGTCGCATTAAAATTTAAATCAATGTTTATTAATTTTGAAGCAATTCTATTTATGCCCAAAAAAATTTAATGAAACATTGTTTAACGTTATATATAAGGTACATTAAAAACACATGTACATCGTATTAATAATAATCTGTAGCCCCTGTTGCCATTGCATCTCAAATAATTATATTAAATTTGATTTGGGCAGACGTGCGCGTGTGCCAGCTGTTCTACTAGCGACGTGTGCCAAGCCAAATAGGTTACCTGCGCATGCCAAAGCGGTCACTCTCACTGCTGTGGGTAAGTTTTATGACGCCCGCTAACCCGTAAAGTCTACTTCTCGGCTCTGTTACAAAGCATCATAGACAAAAGATATGTAAAAAGAGAAAACTTAACATTGAAATTTTAGTAGCGGTAGAGCTCTTCCAGAAGAGTTTATCCAGGGAAATACTGCTATCAAAACTATTTATGCCGCCAAGCTGTAATGTGATATCACTGCGTTACGGTTGTGAAGGGTAAAGATGAATGTGAATCTATCCACATGGAACTTGTCAACTGAGGGAGGGGCCCCCAGGCCCTGTGCTCTCGTTCTCTGTCCGATATCTGTACAAAATAATTACTGTCAAAGAAGTAATCTCCCGACCGGAAACTGCGTCTTTTCCTAGTCGAGGCGCATGATTGCGATTCACAACTGGCCGATCGGAAACTTTTGACATCTCTAATCGGAACAATAGTTGAATGAACTCACGAATTAGAAAGATATAGTGGGAATCAGGTTCATCTTCCCGCTCAGAAACCCATCGGATTTCGAGACTGCCTGATCGGATCGATTCCCGATTTGAATCAAAATTAGGACGCATATGTCATGATTTTATGTACATAATTAAAGTTAACAGCGTGTGAGGCACTATAGTTCTAATTAAATCTATTACTTAGTAGCCGATTTGATGATTCAAGTATTTGTGTAACGCTTAATGCGCTGTTTTCGAAACTTCTATTGGACATACGATAATGTCGCACTTCTATTGAAATATTCGTATAATAGTCTTATTTAAGTCGTACGCCAGGAGTCTGCACGATGTCTGATGGCCGAATGTCATGATTTGTATTATATATTTACATTGTAAGTTGTTATAAATTTAATTTGATTAATTCGAAGTAATCTTAATTGGTACGGTGATTGATTTGGTAGGTTCGACATCGTGCTGCCGCACTCCCGCCACTCACGAGAAGAATTGTAGTGGGGTATACGAGTATCACGTTATTATATATTTACTACAATAATATACATTTTTATTCGATGTAATATTTTTGTTACAGTTTTGATTTTTGAACATATTTACACAATTTTTAATTTGAAGTAATATTAATTGGTATGGTGATTGGTAGTGACGGCATCGTATGTTACACTCCTGCCACTCATGAAAAGAACTGTAAAGAGTGGGCCGAACGGGTGGCTACCGTTTGGTTGAGAGTTCTGTTGTTTACGAATCGGCGAACTGGTAACATGTCTATTAGAATCTATGCCAGTGTAGTGTCCTAATATAGAAATATCAAAGTACCTGCAAATTGTATTGGAGACTTTGTCACAATATAATGATTGGAAGCGAGTTGAAGTTTTATTTCACATACTTGACATTGTTCTTTATTTTGGTGGAGTAATACTTATTTGACAGTAATTGTTTAGGACGGAGAACAAGAGTACAGGTCTTTGCAATTTAGAGCTCTGAGTGGCACTGCAACAGTTATGGGTAGCCGTGTCGCCACCACCAGGTGCACGTTTTGTTCGTCCCGTGACTTAGTGTCATAAAAAAACGTTACGTCATTCACGTAGTATTATGAAAAAAGAAATCACACTATGATAGTGGGTCCGCTTGAAATTTGACTACCTTCCACATTTATATGGCGAACCGCTATGGAGTGGAATACCCTGTCTGCAGACTTGTCACATGAACGTTATTACTTAGGTCTATCAATAGTAATATATATGGGCATTATTTAGGTGTGCATGCTTCATCGTCGACCTCATCGCCACTTTCCTTCAGGTGAGATGGAGGTCAAATGCGCACTTATATTTTATAAAAAAAACTTGTTTCCGTTATCCACTCGACTCTCACTTGTTGCTATATTAGCATTCTATAAATAGCGCCATGACTACTAACTATGCTATAAATATATAGCATTATGATGATACGGTCGTGATAAGAAACATTTATCAACGTGTTGACAGCTGTTTGGCAACTTTGCATCTTATCGCTTTAGAATTGAAAGTGATGTCAGTCATATTCTTGATATTAGCGCCCTAACTTAAGAACGACTTCATGTTCCAAATCAGCCCCGTGACCGGCTTTGCAACAACACCATACAACAATGTCAAATTTCCGCAACGCAAGTTGGTAGCAATAAATTCCGAGTAAATAATTTTCGTTTTCAATATTTTGAGCACTTTTCTACCTCCAATCCAATACTTCTTTTCAATATTTTCTTTTCAATTCAAAACAATACTAAAGTCTTGATACAAATCTTTATATTTTTTTAGCGTTTCTGTAAATGAAAGAAATGGATAAAAACAAATTTTGTCTATTTCTTTCGTTCATTTCATTTCACCCTCAATAGCGTGCTTTACTTCAGTGACGGTTCAAATTTGCATTTCAAGTTGTTTTTGGAAATGTATATAAAAATTACCAATTTTTAACAATAGCGGCTCGAGTGCGACGCGCGCCTCCTGCAGCTGAACCGGGTGCGCGGGATATCTCCGACCAGCTGCCTTTTTTAGAGTACGAGCTTCACAAACTCCTACTCGCCAAGCTGCGCATGCAGGTGTGTACATCAACACGCATGGTTCTGGTACAGAAGTACTTGATAAGAATAATCAGAACTAGACAAGTGTCTCAAAAATCGGCTGGTTCTTATCTCTCGTCCCAATTAGGGATATCTTTATAAATCTCAATAAGTTCCTACCCGGATCAGATAAGGCTTGTTTGGATTTTAACAAGAAACGAGATATGTGATCCAATAATATATAAAACGAGATACGTAGTTAAACACACATGACAGATATTACATCTAATCAACCTTTATTCAATAAAAACATGTATTAAAACGAAGATCATAAATTCACATCCTAACGACCATCAATAGGTACTACGTGGGTACTAGTGTGGCCTAACATTAGCGAAAGTAAAAAAAATTCTCGGTCCACATAATTTACTTACAAGTAGAAACGAAAAGGCTCAAAAAGGCCTATATACGTTTGTCTATATTATGATTTAAAAACAGAAAATCACAGTTTTACTTGTCACAATTTTATTTATTATGTCTTCGTTTTGAGAATTTTAATGGGAGTGAAGACGGATCGAACCAATGTAAGAATAGTGGAAGGTAGGAGTTCGAAAGCGATTCAAAATTTTAAAAGAAATTGGCCACAAACCAGTAAAGAATGGTTAATTAATTGTTTGTATTAATCTATGTGTAATGTACTAGTTTGTGTTCATGTTTATGTCGTTCGTTGCAGGGTGCGAACGCGATATTTTCACTGCAAACGCAGATTTCGATCGGCGAACGATGCGTGATGGCGCTGGCAACCGGCACTGCGTTCAAACTAACCTCTTTGCCCCCTCCGACACCACCTAGAATAAAAGTACGAACAATTTAATATAACCGTTGTATATTATTATAGTTACTATTTCAATATTTATTGTTCGATTTATGTCTACTTCTAGGCTTCGGAAACCGACAAGGATGCTCTAGAAATTCAAAGATCTCTTTGGGATGCATTCATAGCAAACAAAGCTGCCAATGGATACGATATAGGTAATATATTAATTCCATTCTACGTTAGAACACGTGGATGTGTCATGAGCATAAATTTACCACGTTAATTTAGAGCTATTTGAGCCAGGAAACGCGGAGTCGCCAGCGCCCAATGGCTCGCTCCCAGAAACGTTTGAGATAGAGGAACCGCCAGCACTAGACTTGAGTGCTGATAAAGAAGCCTGCGTGTTAGAATTGGACGAAGCTGAGGATGTAAGTTATTAATTTTTGTTTTATTGAAACCTTTAACCTAGTGGTTAGTCAATTACAGATTATCAAAGTTCACACAATAGGTTTACTAACGACAGCATGGAACGCAGTATTTGTGTCACTAAGAACCATTGACAGAGGGATGTAATCGTATATGGATAGCTGGCATAAGCAAAAATGTGACCGAATGCGGCTGCATTGGTTGAGTGATGAGAATGTAGCCTGAAACAAGTCTGGTATACATACATTGAAGTCGAGATTGACCCGAAAACGACTACAAGGCGGGTAAAGGCTTTTAATTGAAGTGTTGGTTGCAAACAGAAAAGAGCTTGGCTCTAAAACGCCTTGGCAATTCGCAGTTGTTTAGACACGTATGACAGTCTTATAACATGGCATAATAACACAAGTAATGCAACTCCCACCTGTTCGGCGCGTCGATGCCCACACTTCGCACAAAGCGTAGCGATCACATTATTATTTTAGCTGTCTATAGGCACGAACCGTCTAGGGCACTAATGTAACTAAGGGCACTATAATGACTATAACTTAATTAATTATTAATTTCGTATGTCAGATCGTTCATTGTTTACAATTATTAAACATGTTAAAAGTAATATAAACTATTTAATTACAATAATTAAAATTAAGTTTATGTCAGGATGTTTCACCAGCATGATATTCAATAAATTTTTTTGTGAAATTACTCCACTAGTTTGTTATAATTGTTAATACAAAGATTACGAACACTACGAAAAAATTCCTTCAATCCGGCTGGATTCGAACCAGCGTCTCCGTGGCAGACGCTATGCCTACTAAGCCACTGAATGTACCAGCAGACCTATTTTTCCATGTGCTTATTGCAAATCTTTGGTTTTAACGATTTAATTACCGTGGCGCCATGTGTGAGAAATCTATTTCTCACAGACGAAAAAGTCGTTAAAAACCAAAACAAAGATCTGCAACAAGCACATACAACAATTCGTAATGTGCACTGGTTCGTTCCGTGGCTTAGTTGGCTGGCGTGGTTTGCTAGGAAGCGCTGGGTCCGCAGGATTGCTGGACTCGATCGATGAAGAAACTTTTTTCAAAGTATTCTATCATTGTATTCATAATTACAATAATTAAAATTAAAAAGTGCTTATTATAGCAAAGTAGAGCTGATACTGATACGTCTAGTAGACGTTATTTAGTATACGTTTATGTCATTTTTTAAACACTTCAATTATATAAAGAATGACGCATGTGACGACCCGTTCTGTGCAACTCTAGTGCACCGCGACATTATGTGAATATGGCGGCGAGCGCCCTCGCATATAAGCCGCGCTATTACGTTTGTATGGAGGTACACTACTTGTCTTACTATACTATGCTTATAATCTCTAACAATTTGCCAACTTATGTACTTGCACAGGGCTACAAAGAGGCGTACGAGGGTAGCAGTTGGCGAAGTGGTGTACCGCAATCTCACTTCGCGGTCACTAATTTTTATTGTGTCAATTATAAAATGATAAAATTTTTGTAGGTACCTACTTACCTACTAATAATTTTGTTATTAATTTTATGACAAACCTTGCCCTTTCTGTGCCTACGCGATGGCGGCATGCGTACCAGATCAAAGGAGGCCAATCACTGGTAGGTGGTATCATAAATACTGTGCATGTATCCTTTGAATGTATGTGGCCCAATACATAAGGTTACTACAGGTGCTAAAGGTGCTGTTTGATAACATACAAGTATTTTGACCACTGGATATATAATACAACACAACTGGATATACATATAATATACCACAACTGAATTTATATTCTGATTTGCAATAATGAATATTCATAAATCTATATTTGAGGCTATCAGCGCAAAAGTGGTGTAATCTACATTTAATTTCTTTTGTACGGATAATGGCACATCAGACTACAAATTTTTGTTCAAAAATCGCTTCCAGTGCCACGGAACAAGATACGTCAAAAGCTTGATGTGCTGGCGTGTGTACAATATTGTTTTAGGTATCATTTAATTAATAATTAATAAAAAAATGATAAAAATATCTATATAATTATTTTATATTTCGATGCTATTTTCATGTATAAAAAAAATTAAATATATTTTATATGTACATGAAAATGACATTCAAATAGAACATTGTTTTTTGTGAAGACGGAGTAAAATTACATTTGCAGGATTGCCAGTTCTCATACAATTTTAAATAGTCATTTAGTTGATGTCGACAGTTTTATTGATAGATTGTGAAGGTAAAATTTTGCCAAAAATGTGTGAATTTACTACGTCTCATGATTACTAATTGCGTTATTACCTTCTTTATTCTTATTTTGACAGCCTACAGCTTTCGAAATAAATTTTTATTCGTATACATTTTAATAAAAGCAGGCGGATTTGATTTTATCTATATTGAATTAAAATGAAATATTTTAAATATGTATGTATGAACCTTTTTTATAATAAGATCATACAAAAATTGACAATTCAAATGAGCCAGTGCCCAGCAGTTGGAGGAATAATGAGCTGATGGTGATTTCAATGAAACAAGTCGGCTTTTTATTTTGCATACCGTGACCAACATTCAATCGATAGTCGATTGAATATTTATCGACAGTAATCACTAGCTGCTTGCAAGAGGGCAACACTTGCGCAATGAACTGTCATTTCAATCCATCTTCAAAAAATACTGACTATAGAATCATTTCAAATAATATTGTAGAAAAAAAAAATTAAGCCTAGGTTACACCACTTTTGCGCTGATAGCCTCATTTATATCTCTACTTTTATTAAGTCATACATTATTGTAACGTATAACATTTCCAGGTAGAGACGGCCAAATCGCTGGCGATGCGTCGAATGCACATGCAAGTGTACACAAATGCATTAAAATGCACACCTGCTGCTACTCCTTATGCCTTTGCACAAGTCAGTATAGAAATATTGCCACATTCATACAAACTTCATTTATTTCGAGTTCTTAGCTTATCGCGGTTGCACATTGGAAACGAAGCTAAAATCTACAACTTCTATGAATTAAAATTCTGGGGTTCGTAAGCTTGAGCTCTCGACAGTCAAGCATGACAAATTTCTGAAGTATAGATTTTCTCGATGAACTCAGGTTGGTCATATAAACATGGAATTTGCAACATTAGCACGGTTGTTGATATTTGGTACCATTCTAGAGCGCTTAATGTTGAGACGCGGCCCGCAGGGGAAGCTGTTTTCTATCAAATTGTATTATTATACCAATCAAGCCCCTTTAAAGTTTTCCAGGCTTTTGCTGAATAACCTGCTAGATGGACAAAAGTATGAGATATAACACTTTTATTTTTTTTAGGTATGGCGCGCGCGACTCGTGTTATCAGGACAAGGTGCAGGCGCATCTGGCGCGGCAGAAAGGCACGTCGCGCGCGCACTTGACGGTGTTACCTACAAGTTGCGCCGGTTGCTGCCCTGCGCGCTAGTTGCACCACGCTTCCAACTGGAATTACCTGAGGTTCGTTTGCTACTGTACTTTTTCAACCCAGCAGCTGAACACGGGTTTCCTCTAAGGAGTAATCAGGTCATCACCTTCAATACGAATTCAACATTCAAATTTCGTAACAGTGACCAAATACAGGCTGGGGACTTCAACATTTCTTTGAAGGCTTATCCGCACATATCTTTGCCGACACGTGATCATCAGTGCAATTTGTAAATTGCTCTTGCATCATGCTTCTGCAATATAAAAGTTGATAATAAAAGTTTCTCAAAGTAAAATGCCCTTCTTGTTAATGACTGGCCCGCTACCTACAAAAACATGTACAGTCATATACATGAGATACCTGACCCCCTAACATGCCCAAACCGACCTTATGGTTTTGAGAGCCATCTTACGTATTGAACAAAGAAAAAATTAAAGCAATTTCAACTTTATCTTTTAAGCAATACCGTGGAGTGTTGCTTGAAGATGATCAACTTATTTTTATAACCAATACTAAATTTCGTCACATAGCATCCAAGTAAATTGGTCGAGCGACTTGTTGTATGGACTGCCAGTTACAATATCCGTGTTCGATTCCACGAGCACTTTTTTGTTTTAACGTTATATTTTTAACAGCATTGTTTCACTTTTTAATGTTAACTGTGACAAATCGCAATATTTGCTCACTACAAATTACTTGAGGTCGGTGGGTAGACAACATTATTAATAAAGCATAGGGTGGGTATGGATAGATTAACAAATCACGAAATCGGTCTGCAGTTCGCATACGATCGTGTCTTCTATGATTAGTGATTACGCATTGTTCCGCGTTTCGTTCCCATTTATCTGTTCAGTTTAATTACTTTCAAAGTTTTCTTTCTTGTTTTAATAAAATGCCGCACATAACGGAGTTATTAAAATTGGAAATTATTGTTTTATATGAACAAGACTTAGACATTCCTTACACCTACCCAGAGGTTAAAAACAAAAAAATACTATATTGTATAGTCATAGCCAAGTAATATTTTTAATGTGACTCGATCTATGCTTGCCTCAACTAGCAAAGCAATCCATACCGTTAGGCCACGACGGCCTTACTATAGCTGGTTGGAATTTGTATTCTGTATTTCAGAACTTATAAGTTAAAAATCAAATTAGCGTAAAAACTTTCTTACAATGTCATGTACTAATGAGACGACCAAGGAGTCTTACCAAAATAAATTTTACGGCTTACAAGTTAAAGATTAAGTTTGTTTAACAATTTTCTCCACATTTTTGTGCCCAGAACCAAAAGGTCTACAAAGTCGGCTTGGGGGGTCAGGTATCTTGTGTATATGACTGTACCTAATGAATTTCATACAGGACGAAATCCAACTAGTAGTATCCGGCACGGCTGTTCGCCTAGTTGACCCTAATAAGTCGGAACCGGACTCTAGCTGTACAGACATAAGTAGCAACGGGCACAATACGCCGTCTCCACCTATTAGCGGTGGTACGCCACCCTCAACTGGTGGCACACCACCGATGCCGCATGACAACGGAACGGTCGACGCCGATGACGACATTTTTACACTCGATGAGGAGCAACTTGTCAAGAATAACCAGCAACTAGAAGCATTTGATGAGAAGAATCTTGTTGTCAATGGACAGGTTGGTGCCTATAGGGTTCTTAATTTGTTGGCCGTACGTACGGCTCGCCAAAAATTTTGTCATAATCTTCTCTCTTAGCTGGGGTTACGGAAGCAGAGAACTGTTGTTTTCTTTGCTTGATATTTATTTTTTTAGTTCTGTGTTAACCATGTTTGGCATAAAGGTTCAGAATCAAAGTGAAATGGACATTTAACTACGACACTTTTTACAATTAATATCTGTTCTCGACTCCTGGATCGGCTTGTGACCTTTTTTTTGGCAAGTACACAACGTATTTTGATTCAGTATTTTTCATAATAATTGTTGTTAATTTAGTTTTAAGGTGGTTTTCCACCGGCGAGGCGACACGAGACGAGGCGAGATGAGAATAGAAATCTTTCGATCGCGCTGTGGTAACATGTCCCATAAATTATTATCATTAAATGTGTTATCAAATGAAGCCATCTTTTTTAAATGTCAAATCGTATGTACAGTCGCGTGCAATGAAATGTAAACGTTGACACATTTTTGAATATACGTAAACATAAGATATTTCATTTAAAAATAAGTAATTTGTATTGCGTTCAAAAATATGTAATCACGACACCGTTTTAAAAAAGGTATACATTTATTTCAGAGAAAAGTATCGAAACTACTATCACTGAAAAATATACACTACAAATGTTTTGAATGTTATTACGAATCATACGGTGCACACTTGACATACTTTAAAAAATGTTATATAATTAAATTCCGTAACATAACACAATTTTAAAGCATAAATACCTAGGCAGTTCAGGTCACACTAAAATTACGTAGTTCTTTTTAACCGACTTTAAAAAAGGAGGAGGTTCTCAATTCGACTGTATGTTTTTTTGTATGTGTGTTAAGCGATAACTCCGACATTCGAGAACCGATTATGATGATTCTTTTTTTTGAACCTCCTCGTTAGTGGCCCCATTTAAATTTGAAGAAAATATTCCACCTCTAAGGGTGGCAAACTGGGGGATAAATCCGGTTTCGCGCACTTTCCGGTAATCGATGTCAATAAAACTTGGCAAATAGATGTAATTCCACGCACTTTTGAGGTCGGTTTTTTTAATTCTCTGTTGAGATTATTTCCATATTTTTTAAAAGATGCAATGTTTTCGCTCGAGCGTTCCACAAACGAATTGTCGGGAATATTTGGGTTACCTATCAGTAGTCCGAAATGACATTTTCCAGAAATAACGTTTGGTCGAAATTTCATAACCTCGAGAGTAATTTTAAGAGGAAAATGTTTTTTCTTTTAAACCTAACCTAACCGAACCTAATCGTGTCTTTGCGACAAACATTCGACATATCCTGAAAGAACAACTGTTTCGTTATAATTCGGTTTTCGGTGTAATGGAAATTCGAACAAAAAAATGTTTGACTTTGCGATAGGTTACCGAATATTTGTTGTATGATGTGGTTTGGGTCAGTAGCAATAATTGCGAACAAATTATTACAATTGTTAGACGCCGACGGCGGTGTCGTTGACGACGCTGAGCTCCGTGGCGGGCAGTCGCGCGGCGCGACGTATCTGTGCGTTGCGATTACTATTCGTGCGCGAGACGACGGCCGTGCGTGAGCTCGGCGGTCTCTCTGGCTTCCTGCACACCTTCACTTGCGAGGTAATGTCTCTTTATAACAATAATAATTTGAAACTTAATTTTTATGAGAAAAATTTTGTTGTCCATGGACAGGTTGGTATAGTTGGCGAAATATTATTTGCACCAATTCGTCTTATCGCTTCATCTTTAGAGGACAATAGGACAAATGCCGTATCGTCAACGCATGTGCCATCTGTATAGTGCAAGCAAGTAGTTTATACACCAATTAAATTTTTATTGAATGTCAGAATGTTTCACCACCATGATATTCAATTATTTTTTTGTGAAATTACTCCACTAGTTTGTTATAATTATTAATACAAAAATCAAACACTTCAGAAAAAAATCCTTCGATCCGGCCGGATTCGAACCGTCGTCTCCTAGCAAACAGTGTCAAACGCTATGCCAACTAAGCAACGGAACGAACCAGCGGACCTCACAAATTTTTCTATGTGCTTGCTGTCGGATCTTTGTATTTGGTTTTCAACGACTTTTTAGCCGTAGCGCGATGTATGAGAAATCTATGAAAGTATTTCGTCATCCAGTTAGGTACCTTTACAGCTATCGGCCCTGGCTTTAAACACTTTTACGCATTGGTATTTAATTGTAAACTTGCTAATGTTTATGCGGAACCACAGACCACATAAATACTAGTAATAGATTCCACATTACCTAGCTTTTGAACAGACGTTCATATGAGTGTCAACAGCGCGTCAGTCGTTCAAATGTGATACATGATTATTTTGTGGAAAAAAATAGAAATATGGTGACATGTGCCATTATATCATGTCGCATAAGAAGCCAAAGTTTAAAAAATACTCCGGGAGTGATTTCATTTCATCAGTAAGTACTAACTCTGTATTTCCTAATATTTTGAACAGTACAATACTATAATTTCGAAACAAAACTATTTTCAATCAATATACATTGGTTGCTAGCCATCGCCGCCGTCAAAAGAACAATTTCAATGACGCTCAATGAATTGCTTGCACTAGTGTCGTATTACACTTGGCACTGGGTCCGCGTGTTGTAATCAAATTATCGATATGAGAGTTTCTAACTCTGTATTTAGAAACCCGGTTTTGGTTTAGTTCAACATTTTTTATTATAGCGGTGCCAATGTGTAAACATAAATTGTTTACAGGTTATTAAAAGCTAACTATTACTTAAATGTTTGGTCCCAACACATTGCAAAAGTTTTTTAAATTTTAAATTTAAGTAAAAATGGAAAAAACAAGGAAATATACATAGAAGAGGTACAGTATCGATAATCTTCATCCGTTTGAGTTCTTAGTTTTATCACAGGCATGATTTACATTTGCAGTTTTTGTATTGATTTTATTATAGTTTCCCGCCTATCCTTTTTAAAAGAGAAATGGGCTGAAGCAACAGGCAATAAAAGCTGGGTACCTACTAAATGCAGCACCATTGCTATAGGCATTTTATGACACCACATTAAATTATAGACATATGAATAACAACCGAAAAATTCATTAAGAAATAAATAATTTGGTTAACCAGGCGGACATGAAACTCAGAGTCGAGTCGCCTTCACAAATTATAGACCATATCTAAATGTGAAAACATTTCTGAAGCATTGTCAGTTATTTTTCGTCAAGTATTCATGAAACAAATGATTCGCTCCTTCCCCTTCGGAAATAAATATCTTCATTTTCTTGACAAGCTCGTCGACGCTATAGGTGTAGTCATGTTCAGCCAGTTCAGAAAGAGGTAATTGTTGAACAAATATATCACATTTTAGGGAGAATGAAGATTTTTATGATGACTGTGTTTTAATATTTCAACTCTTCCAGTGGTCGGATGATTTGAGATTTAGTAGGTTAATGAAAGTACGATGACAGTATGATTGTAGCATGTAGCTGCGTATATGCACTTGCCTGCGTAGCTAATATCAATTAATATTTGCGTGTAGTAAAACCTTATGCGTATTTGGTAACACATGTGTGCGTGTAAAAGTCAGCTACGCTAGTTGTAGAAGAAAATGCTTTAAGTGCCATTTCCGTGTACTCCGTGATACCCTAATTATAGCAAGTATAAAGTTCAATATTCCGCTAGTTATGAAACATAATGTCGATATCAATTAAATGTCACATCCCTATCTGTAGATATCAATTTTTTGCTTTTGTTCCAAGAAGTTTATGTTCATAGGATTCTTAGCTTTTATGTGACTAGTAATAATAAAACCTTATTATATCCAAATAAGTTTCAATTTTTTTTACCAAAAGTTTTTTATTATTATCTATTTTCGTTTGATAATTTATAACCAATCAGAATTATGTTATCTTAGTACTAATGTAAGATTACGTTTTGAAATGTGTGCGTGTGGCGACACCGGTTTTGATACAAATGTTGCTTCATGCCATTTCCATTTTTTTCTTTCTTCCGTGTGCGGAACTAACTTTGTTGAATTAGTAAGTAAAGAGTCGGCAATCGGTATTTTACGGAGTACGCATTAGTTTAAAAAAACGACCTAATGAGTAAATAAATAATTCAAAACTCTAATTCAGAAAAGGCAATTAATGCACCCATGATTGTACGATGGACCAAGATCATTAAGTCCGTGTACGTTTTAAGTAAAACAAGTGTTAGTGGTTTTATTACCCTATAATAGAAAGAATAAGTCGTACCAAGAGATGACATTCGTCGGTGCAAATAATATATCTTCAGCTATACCTTGGTTTATTGGCCATATACGGCTTGCCAAAAATTTTGCCATAATCATATCTCTTGACTGGGCATTCGCAGTGGCAGATATAATATGAAGAGCTAGCCATAGAGATTCGGCAGGTCTGGCAGCAGCTGAAAGTGTATGACATATTTTCATAGTAATAAAACAAGTATGGTAACTCCATACAAACGTTGCAGTGCGACACGTATGTTTGCACGCTCGTTACGAAGCGTGTACAGACGCACACATTCTGTCACTTACCTATTGTCGCCAAGCAGTAATTTGAGCATTACTTTTGAAAGGTGAAATTACAGGCACATGGGACTTGTCAACGATGCCTCAGGGTGATGGCCGCAGTGACAGTGTCTTCCGGATCAATGCGATTTAAAGCTCTAAGTGGCACTGCAACTGCTATGGACATACGTGTCGCTTACCACCAGGCGCACGGCTTGTTCGTCCAGACACTTGGTATCATAAAAAAAATAAAAAATTGACATGTTACAAGTTAGACAACTAATTAAAAAAGGCATTGATTACTTTTATTATGTAATGGATCGAAGAACAATTGTATTGCAGAATTCAATAAATGCTCACGTGTCTGGCAAGGAACCCTTCTGTAGAGAAAGTTTAGCTCCTAATAGACTAAGCTTTCTGGGGCTACGCAAATTGGAGCCTGTCGGACAGGTCTATAAAAAGTACATGAAAAATTGTTAATAAATTGACCTTTTAGAATCCCTTTATTTGGGAGCGATGGATCGTACTATCCCTTTAGCAAAAAAATATTTGAAATCGCTCTGTAGGTGTTGGCGATAGTGCGAGCATACACCGCAGCACTGGGAGGCAACGCGCTCACGTCCTTCTACATCACACAGCTGATGCTTCAGGACAACGCTCACAAGAATCAGGTAACAAACACACACGTACATACAACATCATGCGTGTACATGTGATTATATAGCCTATAGAGATGTTGTAGATTTATATAAGACCAATTAAAGACCTCGACTACATAAATTTAATTGGAAATTTAAATATATTATATTCACTAAAATTTTGTTACAGGGTCAATGTCTTCTATCTGTGGGGGGAGACGTAGTACAAATAATGTACTGAACAATTTTATTTAACGATACGTAACACGGACAAGGACATATCTATATCTTCCCAATGGAGTAGAATATTTATTTATTGTATCATAAATGTGTAAGCTAATTCAATGTTTAAATGATATCACTTGATGTACAGCAATTATTAAGGATTGTTTAATCTGACGCGAATTTTGCATCACGTGCTATATGTGGACCTCTAACAAGAATACTGCCAGCCTGCTTAAATGACAGCATTGCATGTTGTATTAGTGCTAAGTAGACAACGCCGTCAATGTTAGGGAGCCGAAAACGAAATTGTGCGTGGGGCTGAAACGCAAATCGCACCCTCATGGAAGAATGGCATAAGTGAAGTTACGTCAAAAATGTTTATTGCTCCATTGGATACAGAAAAATATAACCTACATCCTCCCCAATTCTTGTAACTCTGTCGACAATATTAATCTATATAGTTACAAGAGTTGGAGATAATGTATAAATAAAAAAAAAATTACGAAATTTTTTTTCGATTTATTTTTTTAGTGATTTGGGTTCAGTTTCGGATGTAGAAAGAAACCTCTGTAAATATGACGAGAATGCAAATCAACACACTGTATAAATGTGTTGACTCACCAAAAATATCTGTCGGTAAAAAAAAAATAAAAAAAAACTAAAGAGTGTATAACCTTCTTTACATGTGACCAAAGATAGCCTTAACTGGTGAGAGAAAAAAGTCTGATAACCATCATCGAGGGATTTGTCGTGTGACTTAGCAGCAATGCGATCGCGTAGAGGTCTTCGTTCTACGTACGTCTCTTACCCGAAACCGTAACGCCTTGGCACTAAGAAAATATAGCCCCGGCAGTTTGTCGACGCGCTGCCCGCTTTATTTTCTAAAGTTTACTGTATACAATAATACTTAAAGCCCTCTTTTCAATGTTACGTTTTGAACCGAGGCGTTACTGAGCGGCATATCAGTGCGATGCAAAATTAATTATATTGCAACCGCTCTTAAGACAAACAAGCGTATACTATTTCAAGTCGCATCTCACGGTTCGCTTATTACTCACGTTAGTTTCAACAGTCCTTCACTAAAATAGTACTTTCTTGGTGTTACTACATATTTTTATATGCCTACTGTCGTGCTTAACTTGCAATGTAAAAAAATGCTAATGTTTACAAAAGAATCTGTAAAGTTTTACTTTGGTTTTATGGTTTGTGATTGTTTTTTAGTATGGTAATGTAAATTTATCGAATTAATTGACCCCCCTATGGAGAAAAATGTAAAGGTGTATTTATATCAACTGGAACTTACTTATATATATATTTTCTGCAAAAAAGTAAAGACTAAAATCTCAAGCCTCGTGTAAACATGACTTGAGATTTTATGAAATGAATGATAACACAAAACAAATGTTCTTTTCTAAAACCAATTGAAAAAAAAACAAGTTTTTATCCTAAAACGCTACTATCGTGGCATAAAATTATTGATATTAAATTTACAGAGGCCAATGCGTGCGAATATTACTCCAAAAAAGTCAAGTAAGCAGCCGTCAAATAACAAAAGTTTAAGTAACTGCCTTGCAAATTTTCTCCTATTGTTATGTATGTTAACTTGAACAACTTCACAGTTTGTATTCCGTAGCTATGCCATAAATAAATTAAATGAAGTTCGTCTGCACCGTAGCTGCAAAATAGCAGGCGAAATATGGATGCAGTCAACTTCTGGTGCAGTTTGCCTGCCCTCAAAATTCTTAATAATTTGTGACTGCCTTCGCGGATTGGTGGTTTAAATCACGGTTGTTTTTCTCGTTTGTTTTTGCAATAAATTAAATTAATAAGTTTTTTAAACAATGTTAATTTATAAACAAATTGTATGTTTTATACAAATCCCTATTGACTAAATTGGGACAGAAGTGTCGTATGGTGCCATAAAAAACCCGTTCAGGGCTTTTTGTCTCTGCCCTTTTCAAAAAAAAATATTTTTTTTAAATCTGTATTATTGTGCATAATTTATTATTATACGTAAATTAAATGTATACGTAACATGTATTAGCGCAAATCATGACGTCTGCAATATACATTTCTCTCTATGCATAGGCAGTGCAAATCATGACAAGTCTGCAATGCATATTTTTGTCTATGCATCAGCACTGCAAATCATGACGTCTGCAGTATACATTTCTCTCTATGCATAAGCAGTGCAAATCATGACAAGTCTGCAATATATATTGCTCTCTTTGCATATGCAGTGCAAGTCATGATAATTAGTCGGCAAAACACATTTCTGTCAAATCGGCAGAGCAAAATCATGACAAGTTGCAAGGTACATTTTTCTCTATGTATCGGTAATGTGAATTTATAATGTTTGTCCTACTGCATTCAAAAATCCAAACAAAAATGTTCTTTATTGAATTAGACTACACTCAATTATATACTATATTGATAATTTTTATATCGAAATATTCATTATTGGTGTCTAATTACAAAATATTAGTAATATTAATAGTTAAAAATATTACTTTATTTTTTTAACAATAAAAATAAGTATATTAGCCGTAAAATTTTTCATTCTAAAGCGAGTTTGTACCCTCTTTAGCTTTGTAAGAGAAGTAAAAAGAAATAGTCAATTATATTGTGTCCAGTTGCGCAGTCAAGGCCATCAGTGACAAACTGCTAAATACACATAATGTATTTTAATAATAGGAATGCCGTGTTAAGAGCTTTTACGTGTTAATTATAATTAAATAAATACAACCATATCGGGATATCTGTGGATCAGGCACAAAATGACATAGTAAAATAACAAAAAAAAGACAACATAAGAATTATAGTTACAGCCTATTACGCACAAGAACAAATGCATTAGAATAATGCCAAATTATCAAGTAAATAAAATAATTTCAAATTCACCTCATATCATCATCATCAACAGCCTATCACAGTCCACTGCTGGTGCATAGGCCTTTCCCAAAGTGCGCCATTTCGCCTGGTTCCTCGGAAATTCTCACTCCATCTGGCCATACGGCGTCCTACACTACGTTTGCCGAGCCGTGGTCTCCACTCAAGAACTCGCTTCCCCCGTCGGCTATCGGTTCTTCGATAAATATGGTCAGCCCACTGCCACGTTTGCTTGCTTATTTCACTTCCTCCGTCCTTCAAAGAAACTCCGAGCATAGCCCGTTCCATAGCTCGCTGAACGACTTTCAACTGGTGAACGAACCCTATCTTGAGTGCCCACGTCTCGGCTCCGTATGTCATAACAGGTAGAACGCACTGATTGAAAAGCTTTGTTTTCAAACTTTGCTGTATGGGTCACGGAAGACTCGACGTAGTCTACCAAACACAGTCCAGCCAAGCTGAATGCGCCTCTTGACTTCCCTCTCGAATTCAACTCATAGTTAAGTGTTCATTTATTATCTTTCGACAACATTTACAATTAGGGTAATTTTCAGATTAGTTCTCTCTATCAAATTTCGATGGCAATTTTTATTATTTGTATCTTCTACAATATTATCATGAAGTATTATTTAATATTCGAGTGTAGTATCCTGAAATATGATTTAATATTCCAAGATAATATACTAGAATACCTAAAGAATAAATTTTGCCACCGAAATTAGGTAGAGAAAACTAACCTTAAAATTACCAATTTTTTTTTTGTAATAATCCATAGCTACTTACGGTTGTTGACGACCTTTTTGTAATTTTGTAACTTTTTTAACAGTAGGTAAGGTAGTTGTTCTACAAAGTATTAGAAATTGTTAGAAGTTTCAACAATATTGTTTAACTCTTTGACGCTCTTTAAACGCGCTTAATTTTAGTATTGATTGTAAGAAATAGCTTCAATTTGTAATTGCGTGTTAATTGTGCAACCTGTTGTTAGTCGCGTGCTTTTCACGTCTAAAAATAATAGATACTTCAAGTGTTTGAGGTTACGTTTGAAATTAAATTATGTTAAGTAAAATAAAATTCCTTAAATTCCGAGTAGGTATAAATTGAAAATGAAGACAAAAGATAAAAAAAAGAGAAAAGAACGCGACAATGGTGCGAATATTTTTGGAATATACGGAGACGTACACACAGGTCAGTTGTTGGCGCTGTACTATTTCAGTTTTCTAATTTGTAATTTCAACGCAAACGAGAGCTGATATTTAAAAGTGATATAAGGCCAATTTACCTGATGAGTTGTCAGGGATGGATGGCACTTATTTCGTATCTTTTTCTGGTTATACACTCGTTGATTGAAACCCAAGGCTTTTTTCCTTTGAAAAACGTCAATTACGCTCATTCTGCTTAACAATAACACTGAAACAAAATAATGTATTTTAAAAAATCTGCTAATTGGGGGTTGCAGATCTCGTTTCGCTAATTTCAGATACCGTCTGGGATATTGCAATCACGCGTAACTAGCATTTGATTATGAGTTTCCATTTCGGTAATTTAGTCGCCAAATGGTATCCGCGTAAATGTAGTAGCAACCAAATTAGCGCGATTTACAGGAATCTATTGTTGACAACATGCATTAATGTTTACTGTGCAAAAATAAAAATCGTAGAAATAACAAAGTGATAACGTTAAAATCCGTCTCCTGTGAAATTTGGTTTAGTACAGTTAACCGCGTTTTACCAATACTACATACGCGGTTTTGCACGATCCCCAACGATATGTTAATAACTCAATTTCGCTAAAAATGTCGATTACATTAGTCCTGATAAGGAGGGCGGTGTTTTTCTGCCAATATAATATATCTACCTTGTAAGCCTGGTGCTATATTAATTTAATTCTTTATTAGCATTTGTTTGGCGCTAGTTCGGCAACATGATAAATAAAAATAGAAATAATTTACTTTGCTGGTGTTATAGTGCGTTCGCGGAGTAGCAAGTAATTTTTTTCCATTTTTATTAACTTTATCTATAAAATTATCTATTAAAATTATCTATTATATTAAACTTGTTAAATAAAAAATATTAGAAAGAGTAATAATATGTGACAGCGTTATTGTAACTAATAGGGTAGAAAATATTTGATACATTTATCAGTGTTATAGTTTCTTCATAACATGTAGAATACTTAGTCTGAACGTCTATGAGCGGTTACACACGATTGCATCGTTACAATTGCTGTTTATAGGCGATTGCATGGATACAAACGCGCGAAAAGCGCCTTGTGTAACCACTTTACGGGACATATTTATTTATTTGACATAATATATGACATAACCTTATAGGTAGACCTACAACATGAACAATGGTTGCGCAAGTAACACTGCGGTAAGGACCAGTATGCACTATGAAAAGGTTAATATTAGGGGTTAAAGTATGAAATTGCCGTTTTATTGCAATAG